AAAAGTACACCAACATAAGTATCTGTGACTGACGGCTCATTATCTACATTTTTCAAGTTAATACAACACACATAATTTCAAGAACTACACTGAACTGAAATCATTTTACGTGCCTAATTTCGATCACCAAAATATGCTTTTAAAATAATTCATCACTTCAATTCCCTGTCCAACCCTCCCTACCTAAAAAAAAATCCAAAAAACAAAAAACAAAACTATTCTCCTATTCCCAGATAATCTACAATGGGGGCTTTCCTCTTCACAGAAGAAGAAACTGCAGGGGAGGAACCTTGAAATAACACTATTGAAAGGGAATTTTCCTATAGCCTTCAAGAAACCCTTAAGAAGAAATAACACATTTTCAACAGACTTCATGACCTTTCAAGTGATAAAACAATATCCTGAGTGGAAAACTAATGCACAAAGCTAATGTTTGGGTCAATCTCAAAAGTCATTTAATTGAAGGCAGTGACTAACCAAGACCACCTGTGCCCAATACACTGCTAAATTACAAAGCAAGAAACCCACGGCAGCTCTACTTTATCAATGTCAACTCTCTAAACAACACTGATCAAAGTAAAATGGAATAGATATTCACTATTAAAACTACAAGTAAAAATCTGAGTTGTGGTATTATTATTTGCTAAAAGAAGACCAAACAACAACAAAAAAGCATCTCTGTTTATCTTTTATTAAAAATAATCCTGATGACATGACTTAACAGCAATGCAAAAATAACTTATGCAATAAGAATAATGGCCAACTCACTAATCAGTCACGGGTTTATACAGGTCTTCTCTAGAAACCATCCACCTAAACCTATCAAGACTTTGAACCCTTATGTAATGTCCAGCAAAAATCAATGTTATCCAGTTGTGTTAGAAAAATAACAGTAATAGGAGAACCATTATTTGCTCACATTTCCCAGAAGTGATTAAGGGAGAATTCCAACATTAGGATAAACAAAATTCTTTAATTCTAAAAATACATTCTGAAATGTTAGTCAGTCTACCTTTGTGCCTCAAGGCTGAATGCAATTAATGTTTTTGCAAAAGCTTTCAATTAAGTGTGCATGGTTGTCCTGTAATTCTCTGGATAAAAAGCTTGGGAGCTAGCTAAAGATATCAAGAAAGCTGACAATGTGGGTGAGCACTGTTCCCTCAAAAGGCTACAATTTCAGTAAAAAACCCAGACAGTTCTAGCAAAGATAGTCTATAACACCAGTGTCAAACAACTGCTTTTAAATTTCAGGAGCTTAAATCTACTCTAAGCAGGGTTCAACTACCATTTTAGACTGTTTGTGAAGCTTCATATTCAGCTATACAAATTTAACAATATAAAGTTTATTCTGATAATTGCTTTTTTCAGTGAATTCATAAACTAATCCTGCTGTGTACTCTAACTTACATAAATTGAGATTAAACCATTTGATAGTTCTCTAGGGTTTATAAATCCAAGCTATTCCAGGAAAACAGTTATCAATCATTTGTGGCAATTCAATACATTAATAAATCTTAAAGAACTAATGACAAAGAAAAAAGTTACCAAAAAGTAAGTTCAGTTTATGCCCCAAAAAATTGGAGTCAATTATATCTGTGTAGAATAGTAATAGGTTTTACTACACTTTCTAAAACTGAGATTAAAAATTAAACAACACTCTAGGCCTAGCTTATTGAAAAAAAGGAAATGAATTAAGGGTCCAGATAATGCTCTCTGTACTTTTCTTGCAGAATCACGTCATCCACATTAATAACGTCAGTAATAGTACCAATACTATTATGGCTCTTACGTGTCTTCCAAAGTGTTCACAGCACTTTCCTGAATTATGTAATCAGTAGACAGAAAATACCTTAGGAGATAGATAAGGTGAGGGGAAGAAAAAGTCGTCAAAGACTGTATAATAAGCCAGCTGAATAACCAAACTCTGAAATGATTTTTTTAAATCAATATCCAAAGACAAAGCATAATTCTGGTATTGTACAGCTAATAACAGCTAACGTAAGGAAAGTTAAAAATTAAATTACTAAGGAGTCATGACCATTTCTTTCATCTGATCATTTTTAAATAGAAATAGAAGTAGTTCAAAATCATAGTGCTATTATGTTGCAGGACAAAAACGGTAGGAATGCATTCTTCAACCGCCCAAACCGCCTCCTTCCAACAAGAGGACGATGGGACCTTTATTTCAGTTTACCTCCAACAAAACAGATGCATCTCTATGAAACCAGGGCAAAGATTACTCGATTTCTTACTTATGACATAAAATCATCTTTTTTCCAAATCTTTCATCTTTAAAAAAAGTAACACAAATCTGAAAAGCATTTCTTGTCATCAGATGCAAGAATATAGTACTCAATTATAAATTCTACAAAGCTTTAGAACTCTTAGCCAGTTGCTCAAAATCTTTTCAATGCACTCCTGAGATCTATCCTAAAATGAGATTAGAAGGTAGAATGTAAAGAATTTATCATATCTGCCTCTTTGATTTGAAAAGAACAGACATGCTTTTAAAAATATTTTAAAATGGAGTTTCTTTCCTCTTTATGTTTTATATTTTATTCAATAAAATAAATATAATCAATAAGCAAGCTTTTAAGCTTAAAAATAAAATAAAATCTTGAAACCTATGTGCACGGGTATATGTCTACATGGACACAAGTCTGAAGACCTTTTCATGAATTTATGCAACAACTGGCTACTTTGAGACAAGAAAAAGGCCATTTTCACTTGCTGCTAAAATAAGTCACTAGGATACCTGACAAAGCATTTTAGACTCAGTGTTCAACTTATGGAAAGATACACAAAGGGTTAAAAAAAAATCAATAATCCCTTACCCTGTAATAACTTATCATATCTCATAGCCCAGTAAATCATATCCAACTCAAGATAAAAGGATATGCTAACCCACTGAGATTTGAACATGTCCCAGAAATACATGAGTAATTATGAGATGGAGATAATATGAACACAACTATCAACACAGACTTTTACAGGTATATTCAGCCTGGAGGCTAGGAAATAGACTAATTTTTCAAGATTCCTTCTTGCCCTAATTGAAGAAAGAGTTAAGATGCATAAAATAATTCAGAAAATAGTGTTAAACATTCTCTTTACTTGATCCTTGCAGATAACTATAATTGACCAACTGTAACGGGATGGGATCTCACTCACCAATACAATCAACCACAAGTCACCAGGGCTTTTTGTACCTTTCCTCCTCTACTATATCTGCAAAATCTCACCCTGTGAAACTCATCACCACAGTGAAGGCAGGCTCTCTTATAAATCTTCTGAGAATACAATTCTTCAAAGGCATTTGACTATGAGGAATTCTCCCTTACTTTACCACACCTGCTTTAGGTTGTAAACCATATGGAATATATTATACTTATACTAACTACTCTTCAATAACTTCAGAAAGCAATTCTAAATTTTTAATGCAGTCTGTAATGCCCATGCTTTGAACAAATGTTTTGTAATTCTTGCTTCTTCACTGACTCAGGCAGCTAAAATTAGCTTTTGTAGATCATTTCTAATCTGAATTCCACTTTTTTCCTACAAAAGTTCCTGGGAAACAGGTAGGGTTTGCAATCTTAGTAAACAACACTCCACTCATCTGTTATAGCAGAGAGTGTTTACATTAAAGTAGGTGCTTTTCTGTCCTAGGAGAGCTACCAGCAGGACTCACTCCCTAATATGCAACAGTTGCTTAAAATCCTGGGCCATTCAAGATTAAGACATTTCAGATAATTTTTTTTTCCACACAGAATACTTTTTAAATTCAATAGTGTTGACTCTGAGGAAGTACAAACTGATGAGAAAGAATACTCCTTGAAAACACTGGGTTGGTTTTCAGATGACAAAAGACAAAAAAATAAAAATGAACATTGGTGTTCAGAAGAAATTCCAGGAAAGAAAAAACCAATCCTACATCCCTCCTTTTCTCCAACTCTTAATAAACATAAGACAGTGTCAATCTTGGCCTCACTATCTTAAAGAATCATGAACTGAGGTCATACCTACAGCATCTAAACATGTAGAATCCTACATCCTGAACCCAGATTAGGAAAAAAAAATTTGCAGAGATGGAAATCCAGATTCCACTTAGAAATTCTCTCAACAAAGACTCATAGAGAGTGTGTACAAAAAAATCAATACAAACAAACAAACATTGCATCTTTGTAGCTGTTGGCGGTGATTTACGTTTTCGGTTGGTTTTTGTTGTTGTTATTGTTCTGGTTAGCAAGTAAATAAATAACATTCTATTATCAATAATGTTAAATGTGGGGGAAAAAAACCTGAAAGTAACCAGGATAGGAAATTATAGCAAAGCAGAAATTTAACCTAAAATCTTAAGCTAACAATCTTCATATAAGGCAGCAAAGTCTCCTAACAAGATAGAAAACTATTAGCAATTTCAAAAGCCAAATGTTTATATATGGCAATAACAGAAAAGGATTGCCACAAAACATATGTATGATTTTAGAAATCTAAAGTAAGAAAGAATACAACTGTCACCACTCTAGTACTTGCATCATATTCCAAGACAACAGAAAAATATGATAATCCAAGTTGAACTATTCAGGCAATGTTGGTGCTCACTTTCTTCACTATCTAATGCCAATAACTGAGGTTTAAAGGTAAAAAATAAAATACGAAAAAGTTATTTGATAAAACAGAACAGAATAAACATAACTTAAAATTATGTGAACATACTACATTGAAAAATTTTAGTATATTCATATGAAAATCTATGAATCAGAAATAAAACTGAAATCCAAATCACAAATATTTTAAACAGATTTAAAAGCATTATTTTCTATTCCTTTTATCCACATAGAATACATTAATCAGAAGTCCATATGATGCAGAAAATGCTACAAGATTTTGCTATGACGTTTCATGTTCCAAAATAATGCAGAGAAAAACTTTCCATGAATTCCAAGTTTTCAAAAATAAACACATGCAACTTAATTTAAAGTCCTCATGGCTGAATTTACCGTCTTGTGACCATTCTGGCAGGCCACATGCAGCGCCGTCTGCCCCATGGCGTCCTCAACGTCAACGTCACTGACGTGCTGTACAAGGTCATGGAGTAGTTCTGTCCGCCCATTCACAGCCAGCCAGTGTATCTGTGCAGCCATTTAGTTACTTAACATTTGTGCAAGAGTGTTTCATATAAAAACAGCAGATAAATAACACTATTATTTCTCAACTTTGAGCACATGCATATTAAATATTAAAATCTAAGCACATATACTTTTTTCCTATTTTTTTAACGGGGTAAAAATATGCATCAAGATGTAGGTTACACCACCATCTATTTCAAAACCAAGTGCTTCATCGTTTAAAGTAGTTAAGTATACTACACTTAGGATCACCAAATACTCTGCTTCTCTGATGACCCTGGACTCTATGCACAGTTTGTCTCTAGAGAAAAGATAATGGATATTTTTCGTTCCCGAGAAGCAAACAAGTTAAAAAGTAATTAACACAGTAGGTGTCATATTCTTTACTTCTGGTATTTGACCAGTAATGCGTGTATCATACATAAATAATAAAATATATAGGGAAGATAAAAAATATAAAACACCTATAAGTCTATCACTCAAAGATAATCAATGTTAAAACTGTGGACTATGACATTCATGTATTTTTTATTTGACCTCTTTCCATTAAAAAATCTATCATCAAACTTCTGTTTTAAAATGGCAGCGTGAACACATGCATCAGTCTACTCTTCCCCAAACACCACTGAAATGACAGAAGAGTACTTTTTCTTAAACAACAGACCCATTAAGATAAAGAAAAGGAGAGAATATAGTAGCAACAAATCTTGAAAGCTGGAAGCTTTTGACTTGTCAGAACAAAAAGCTGAGTCCTAAACCAGTAGTCAAGAAAGCCAAGAAGGAGGTGATTCAGATCACAGAACTCCCCAAAGGCTTAAGAACCGGTAGTAAGAACCCTCCTCATGCAGGGGTGAACGTGGGACTAAAAACACAGCACTTGAAAGTACATACATTAACATTTAGCCCCTTAGGTCCCCATCCCTCCCCTATTCTGCAAGGCTGATACCTGCCCCTCCCCAACCTGACAGAGCACAAGAGGCTTCAGAGTCTCTAGATAAGACACACCAGGGACGCTGAAGCAAGAACATCACGCTGCAAGAGAGAGACCAAGTGCATGTTTACACACTGAATACTGAAATCCCAAAGCCTTCCCCTCTACCCAGGGTCCAGAAAGCTAACATGCTGCTCGCACTTGGAAGAGCTTCCTCTGAGGAATCCGACCAGCTCAGGAGTAAATGCCAAAGAAACTACCATCAGGAAGGATCCTGAAGGCAAACGCCCAAGCAGATCACTCTACACTGAAGCCCAGTGAAAAGACCTCACACATTCAGACAGACTTTTCAGACAGCTTCTCCCTGTTCCACCAAACATTTGACAAATGCATCTAATTTGAAAGACAAAACACAAAACAAACAAAAAAGAAAAAGTAGAGAAGAAAAGGAACCATGAATATTCAAGAAAAAAACTGCAAAAGAAAAAACTATATTTAATACGCTCAGGGAGAAAACATACTGACTACATCCTCGAAACAAGAACAGGAGGGGCTGGCCCTGTGGCCTAGCGATTAAGTTCGCCGGCTCCACTGCAGGCGGCCCAGTGTTTCGTTGGTTCGAATCCTGGGCGCGGACACGACACCACTCATCAAATCACGCTGAGGCAGCGTCCCACATGCCACAACTAGAAGGACCCACAACAAAGAATATACAACTATGTACCGGGGGGCTTTGGGGAGAAAAAGGAAAAAATAAAATCTTAAAAAAAAGAAAAAAAGAAACAAGAACAGGATACTATTTTTTCAAAGGGACAGGGCAAAAAAAAAACGGGAAGAAGAACTCTTGGAAATTAATACTATGATAGTCAGGCAAACTCAAAGGAAGACTTAGAAGATAATATTAAGGAAGTCCCCCAGAAAGCACAAAAAGACAAAGAAAAGGAGAAACAAGAGAAAAGACAAAAAAAAATTAAAAGGCTAGCCCAAGAGGTCCAATATTCAAATAATAGGAATTCAAAATGGAGAGAATAGGGAAAACACAAGAGTGGAAATCATCAAAGAAATAATTTCTGAAAATTTCTCATGAGAGTTTCCAGGTTGACGGAGCCTCAGTATTATCCAGCCAAATGGATAAAATTAATACAAACCAAGACATATAACCACGACATTTCAGAACTCTAAGGACAAAGTAGATTCTGTAAGTTTCTAGAGGGAAAAAACCAGGTTTCACAAAAGCCATCAAGAATCAAAATGGCACCAAGTTTCATAGAAGACAACAAAGCAATGCTTTCAAAATTCTAAGGGAAAATGATGCCCAGCCTAGAATTTTAGTCATCTAAATTACCAATTACATAATCAGACTCAAAGACTCAAGCAATATTCAGTCATGCAAAATGTCAACAAATTTACCTCCCATGCACCCTTTCTCAGTTAACTACTAGAAAATGTGCTCCAGTAAAGTGACAGAATAGTAATTAGGAAAGACAGACACAGAACCTATATAACAAAAAAAACAAAACAAGAGAAAGGCAAAAGCAATCTCCAGGAAGATTGTGAAGAGACATTCCAAACAGCTGTGAAGCAGGCCTAGAAGTCAACCGATTCAGCTTCGAGAAAACAGAAGTCTGCATAAGAGACTCCTTCAAAACTAATCAGGAAGATGAAAGGTACTGAATACATACTATGTGGATATTCACAAAGCTCAGGGAAAATCTGGTAATGAATTAATAATAAATACTCATAAAACTTAAAAAAATTTTAAAGCTGCAATATGGCAAGAAAGAGAAATAAAAGATACATAGATTGGAAAGGAAAAGATAAAACTATCTCTATTTGCAGATGAGATGATCGTCTACACAGAAAATATAACGAGCATACAAAGCCAATACCAGAAAGTTCCATACAGTATGATTCCACTTATACAACATTCTTGAAATGACAAAATTTTAGAAATGGAGAACAGATTAGTGGTTGCCTGGGCTTAGGCTGGGAGTGAAGGGGAGGAAAGCTGTGGCTATAAAAGAATAACACAAGACATCTTTGTGGAAGCAGAAACGTTCAGAATCTTGACTGTGATAGTGGACAGATGGATCCACATGGGTAATGAAACTGTACAGAACTTAATACACACACAGGTAAAACTGGATACAAGTAAACAAAATTGGGGAAAACTGACTAAGATAGGTTGTATCAACGTCAATATCCTGGCCATGGTATTATACTACAACTTTGAAAACGGTTATCACTAAGGGAAATCGGGCAAAATATACAGAGGATTTCTCTGTATTATTTCTTATAACTGCATATGAATCTACAGTTATCTCAATTTTCTTAACGCAATTATTAACTACATGAAAAGCAAATGCTGTGTAAGAAAGTAACTACAGCAAACTACTTGGCCTAATTACGAATAATTTTATACAGTCAAAAAATGAAAACACTGGGGCCAGCCCCGTGGCCGAGTGGTTAAGTTCGTGAGCTCCACTGCAGGCGGCCCAGTGTTTCGTCGGTTCAAATCCTGGGCCCGGACATGGCACCACCCATTGAGCCACACTGAGGCAGCGTCCCACATGCCACAACTAGAAGGACCCACAATGAAGAATATACAACTATGTACCGGGGGGCTTCGGGGAGAAAAAGGAAAAAAATAAAATCTTAAAAAAAAAAAAAATGAAAACACTGAAAAATGATCTAACTAAAATTATGACTAGATTGAAGGCTATGAGGGAAATGTTCTTGTACAGGATGGATAATGGGAGTGGCTGAAAAAGAGAGCAATAACCTTATCTTCCAGAAAGTCAGTAGGTGATGCCTAAAACTGAAAAATCAAAAGGTAGCAATATTAGCATGTTATTTAGATATAGGGAAACAAAATTTTTAAACCCATTAAAACCGTTGAGAGGAGGTGACTCCTGAGTGAGAAGTTTGGAGGCTGGGGAGGAAGGTCAAGAGAATGTTTTCTTTTAGGGGGAGGGTATCATAAGGTAGATGTATATTTATTTGAGGTATAAAGCCATATAATTTACATGCCATACAATTCATCCATTTAAAGTAAGCTGTATTTAAAGTATACAACTTACTGGTTTTTAGTATATTCACAGACTTGTGCAATCATCACCACGACCAATTTTAGAACATTTCATTTCCCCAAAAAGAAACCCTGCACCCATTAGCAGTCACTGCCCATTTCCTCCATTTCTTCCAGACAGATAAGGCAAAGATCTCACCCTGACTCTGCCACCTGGGTAAAGTAAGTCATCACTGCCTTCAGTAGTTCTTATGGACGTTCTTTTGCTTTGTTCTCATAGAACTCTCTGTTAGAGGCAATGAATTCTTTGACAGTAGTTGGGGGATGGTATAGGCACGTTAACAAATATTCCATCACTCTTATTGTCTCACTTTGATAATTCTGAGTTCAGAACAAATCAACTCAAGTCTAAATACCTCATCCCTACCAGCAATATAAATAAGGCAGGGAAAAGTCTACAAAGCCCTGAGCTTATGGTTTATGGTGCTGAATGATGGTGCCTTGGCAGACACCAACATTTGGAATTATTCTTTTGTTTGGCTCTATCCCCACCTCATCCTTGACAATGCACCTTGGCAACATTCAGGATGGGTAAGCATAGAATATACTTTATTGAAAAAAGTGGAAGAGTGACTTTGAAGGTGAAGAGAATTACATGCTTTAAGTCTTTGCCAACCACTTCCATAGAGCTAGAACTCTCTTCCCAACTCCCACTGCCAACCCTACAACCACCACTTCCACCAGTCTAACTTCTATTTGACCCTTTGGCCTCAGCCCATGTGATGCTTCCCTAGGATGCCTCCTCCAATGCCCGAGGTGAGGATGGGTCCCCTCCTATGACTTGGATAGCATCTCCGGCTCCTATGTTGACATTCATTACACTGTGTCACCACTGCCTGAAGACTTTCCTGTCTCCTTTGGAAGTTTGGGGACAAGAAGGATCAGATCAGCCATATTCACTGCTCTATCACCACACCAGTGAAGTGCCTAGCACATAGTAGGTATTCAAGAAATTCCTGTTGAAAGAACAAATGAATGAAGAAACATGAGGAGTCCTTTGTGAGGGTGACCAGTCTAGAAAGCATGCAGTCAACCGTTCTCTCCTTTTGTGAGAAAAATCCTGGGACTCTTGGCTCCCCATTGAAGGTCTCTTCCATCTCAGAAGCCCCTGGCTTTACTGTCCCACGTATTTGGTGGCAACTGTTCAATTCTGCAGCAACACATTTTCACCATCTCATCTTGCTTCAGCTGATGGGGTCAATGGGCCCGGCTGTTGAATTCATTTCCACTATGGTGGTCTGGGACTAGGCAGAAACAAATCTGGGGGCCAGAACAGTTTCCAAGAGGAGGAGGCACATCACACCATTCAGAGCCCCAGGAGAGAACATCAAGGTCGGTCCCAGGCAGGAGTGTAGAGACTGTTCTATAATAAGCCTTATAGAATAATTTCACTCTTCAAATATATGCATGGATAATTTTTCAAATAAAAATTTGATTTTTAAAAATTTTCTACTCCACTTCCCTTAAAGTTCAAGAGTGAAGGGGAGAAATTAGCAGATACAAACTTACGTGATTAAACATATTATGTTAATATTGGACATTCTTTTTTTCTGCTTTATCTCCCCAAATCCCCCCAGTACATAGTTGTCTATCTTAGTTGCAGGTACTTCTAGTTGTGGCATGCGGGACGCCACCTCAACGTGCCATGTCCGCGCCCCAGATCCGAACCAGCAAAACCCTGGGCTGCTGCAGCATAGTGCATGAACTTAACCACTCAGCCACGGGGCCAGCCTCAATATTAGACATCTTATCTTGCCTATGCCAGATAATGTCCTAAGGATAAGCTTTGTCAATTTCATAGTTTAATAACCCTCTATGGTACCTACAATATCACTAAGCATCTTGGAGATACTCAGAATACAGTTTTTCTTTACAGAGTAGATGGTGCTATATTGCTAATATATAAGAAAAATCAGGATTATCACAGAAATTGTGGATTCCACATAATAATCATGATTGAGCTTTTTCTTTACTAAGTCATTCACAAAATAATTCAAATGTTAGGGAAGCTGTTTTTAATGCCCCAGCCCCCTACCTCACCAAAAAGAATTTAATCAGAAAGGCCTCAAAAACTGGCATGGCACATAAATACTCAATATTCTTTAGTCAAAAAATAAAAGATTAAATATCTACAAATACTACCAAAGGAAGGCAAAAAAATTTTTTCAGCTTTATTGAGGTATAACTGACAAATAAAATTATAAGATTTTTAAAGTGTACAATGTGATGATTTGATATACATTGTAAAAGGACTCCCATCATCCAGTCAATTAATACATCCATCACCTCACATACAGGAAGATAAAATTTAACGTCTTCTGTCATGACTTCAAAATAATTTCTCAATAATCACATAATTCTATTTTATCTCTACTTTTGTAATAAATAATGCTCCACTAAATAATGACAATTCGATTAACGTTTCTGGATTTCAACAATCTGTTCAGAAATATCCCACACTACCTCCCTATAATATCTATGTAGATCAAAAATACATTAACTTTTTTTGAAAAGAAAGTCATATGGCAAAATGAATAAAAATACTAGTTTTGAGTAAGATATAACAAGTCTGAAAGGATACAGGCCAAAATATTAACAGTGATTATCTCTGAGTGCAGAAACACAGGTGAGTCATCACTCCCTTCATTCCTTTCTTTTCCTTTCTGCCTAGCCATCCAATTTTCCTTCAGTGTACACATGAAAAGCATTTAAAAGGACATAATGAAAAACAGCTCTCCTATAATGAACTCGTAACACACCCTAGCAGAGATGCTCCTAAGAAGTCCCTTGAAAGTCAGTGACAAAAGCTAAGGGAATAAGACTTCAAAATAAATGAAAGGTCATAAACTTAAAAAGAAGGAGAAAGGAGCAATGTGGTGAACCGTAACTTCCCCTAATAAAATAGAGCTGAGAACTCTATCTCAAACCATTCTGCATCTTCTTAATTATCACAAAGAAGTAACTTGCAGAAACACTTGTACTACACTTTACATTACTATCACCTTCAATACTAATTTCTAAAACGTATTTTAAAAATCTCAGATAAAATTCTTAGCACTTACTGCTGTAAGGCCTTCATTATTACAAATGTTGACATCAGCACTGTATTCTAATAATTTACTCATGCATTTCTTCTGCCTGAAAAAGAAAAAGAGACAGTCACGGATAACTGGTCCCAGAAAAATAAACAAATGACAATTATTTTACTGAAATATTAAGTACACTCAACATTAGTCGATGGCAAGTATCAATGTATATCTGCAATATTTAAATAAACACTATAACATTTGAAATAGAATACAAAATTGTTTCTACGACTCAAAGATAATAGGATAAAGAAAAGGCACAATGAGGTTTCCATGTCATTGGGACAAATTCATCATTCAAAATTCTGAGAACTTTCTAGCATTGACTGAATATCTGGAACAGCAATCTTCACTAGAAATATAAGACAATGTAAGTCCAATGGAAGGGGAATGGATATAGCAAAACGATGCCTCAATGTTGTATCCTACATCCAGATTGCAAAATATTTAAAAGTTAATACTAAGATGAGTTACAAAAACATAACCACAAAATTAATAAAATTCATGTCTATGCATCCCCCCACTCATTTTTTTCCGATTATTTGTACTATGGTAAAATACACATAACATAAAATTTATCATCTTAACCAATTTTATGTGTACAGTTTAGTCATATTAAGTATATTCATACTGTTGTGCAACCATCACCACCACCTATCTCACGAACTCTTCATCTTGCAAAACTGAAACTCCATACCCATTAAACAGTAATTCCCAATTCCCTCTCCCCTTAGCCCCTGGCAATCACCATTCTACTTTCTGTCTCTACAATTTGGCCTCATCTAAGTACCGCATAAAAGTGGAATCATACAGTGTTTGTCTTGTTTGTAACTAGCTTCTTTCACCTGGCATAATGTCCTCAAGGTTCATCCACACTGTCGCATATACGTCAGAATTTCCTTCCTTTTTAAGGCTGAATACTATTTCATTGTATGTATATACCACATTTTGCATACCCATTCATCGCCATTGGACAGTTAGGTTGATTTCATTTTAGCTGCTGTGAATAAGGCTGCTATGAACATGGGTGTACAAATATTTTTCAAGACCCTGCTTTCCACTTTATTGGGTATATACCCAGAAGTGGGACGGCTGGATCATACGGTTACTCCATTTGTAATTTCTTGAGGAACTGCCCAAACTGTTTTTCAGAGCATCTGTGCCACTTTACATTCCTACCAACAAAGCACAAGGATTCCAATTTCTCCACATCCTCATCATCACTTATTTCTTTCTGTTTTTTTGATAGCCATACTAATAAGTGTGAGTTGGTATCTCAGTGAAGTTCTGATTTGCATTTCCCTAAAGATGAGTGATACTAAGCATCTTTTCACGTTCCTATTAGCCATTTTCATCTCTTCTTTGGAGAAATGTCTATTCAAGTCCTGTGTCCCCTTTTAAATTGCCTACCCATTTCATTTTGCTCACAATGTTTCCCCTTAGCTTGATCCATTCCTAGTCACTATTCAATATTCATCTCAATTTCCCCCTCATTAAATAATAAAATGAAAATTCACAGTTTGAAAACTGCAAATGATATACACACACAATACACATTTAAAATACATGCTGGACTATGCTCAGTACTGAATTAAGGAAATACAATCCACAGCATGAAGAGGTTTATGATCTAGTTAAGTAAACAGTTATACATATAAAATATAAAATAGTGTACATGTAATAATATATTATGCATATGTTATATAATATAGTATGTATATATAATATTAATATATACAAGTATACTACATACATAGTATACGATATAGAGTACATAGTACGTATAGTATATATGTGTATATATTACTCCTTACTCAATTAGATCATAAATTTCTTCACACCATGAATTATATCACTTTTCTTTAACCAACTCAGTACTAAGCATAGGTAGGTGCTCTCAGTAAAACTCAACAAAACTTTATTGATTATTAAATTATCAATCATATAAGTCAATAGCTAAAGTTTTCATTGACTGAATAAGCCTTTCAAAAGAAAAGAGAACTATGGCCCAGCCCCAGTGTCCTAGGGGTTAAATTCAGCGTGCTACACTTCAGTGGGCCAATTTTGGTTCCCAGGCATGGACGTACACTGCTCTGTTAGCCACCATGTTGTGCTGGCAGCCCACATACTAAAAAATAGAGGAAGATTGGCATGGATATTAGCTCAGAGTGAATCTTCCTCAGCAAAAAAAGAAAAGAAAACTAACAAATTGCTTTTCTTGGTTTGATTTTGGGATCAGAAATAAAGTTAAATATCATTTAAAATCAGCATTATAACCGAAGAAATTAAAGCTCTCAGCAAACTTGTAAGTCCAAACATTTACAAAGTTCCTTCATCTAACACATTGTTATAAAAATCTTAGGAAATAAATCTTCAATAATCTTGAGACAACAGACCAGACCGTCCTATTAAAATGAACATGTTGTTTAAAACGTTTGTGTGTGTGTGTCTGTAACCATATTGCTGGATTTCTAAAACCTACTCAAAAGCCTGCCATGGACCATTGGCCTATTACCAAAATAAACACTTAGGTGGGAATGAGCCAAAGAAACAGTCCCAAAGAAGTGTTTAGGGTAAGAGCTGCTGAAGAAAAGCAGCATCCATAATGTTGCCCCACACACCCAAAATGAACTGCAAATGGTACAGGACAATATGAGAGAAATATATCCTCTTTTTCTTACCTAACAGTCATTATTCCTATTTTCCAGAACCTGAGTAAATCAAAACAACCCAATAAGTGAGCACCTATTTTGCTAAGAATTGGAGCTAAAATATTAACTAATACACGGGCTCTGCCCTTTATGAGCTCACAATCTAGCCGAAAAAATCAGGTTTCAAATCTGACCAATATGCAACCTAAGGATACACAGTAACTCTGAAGTCTTCCCTTTTCAACATTCTCATGCAATCGTAACCAATGCTGGATCCTCCCGTACAGGAAGCAAGTATTTTCCTGCCCAGATACCGCAACAATTATAGGAAGCTTACGGTAACCCAAATGACACAGGGACCAGTCATCCAAGTGCTTTGTGGCAGCTTAATGGGTCTTCTACTGGAAAGGAAGGCAATTCAGTACTAATGCTCCCAGCATTAACGGGTCAAGAGAGAAATGATAAAGCAGGCCAAGAGAAATACACTACCCATCTGACAATGATAGCGAGGGAACAAAACAAAAAACTAACCCCCCAAAAAACAGATGGAACAGCAAAAGGGGCAGAATTCCCCTGACTTCTGCTCCAGTCTAGACAAACTGGAACGCATAGAGAAATTACAGTAAGAAGCTATTTCTGAAAACATTAGTGGCTACAGAAGTAACAAGTACTCAAGTCACTCAGCAAACATTTACTGAGCACCTCTAAGTTGGACAGAACATCCATTTAATAAATAATAAAAACCAAAATAGTTAAGAATTGAGTATCAAAAGTAATATTTACAGAAACAGAAAGGCATCCAAATTAGAAGTTATGTGAGGCTTATGAACTACTCTTATTCCTTTTCTCTTCATTGACTTGCCACGTGAATCACGTAATATCTGTCATATTTCTTTACCTTTAAGATGTAACTGCCTCCAACCTAAATGATCTCACCAAAATATAAAAAGATAAATACATGAGATGATGGTGACAGATGTGTTTCTAACTAGATGAGAGGAAACTTTTCATAATGTATATGGATATCAAATCATCAGCCATACACTTTAAATATCTTACAATTTTATTTGTCAATTATACCTCAAGAGAGCCAGAAAAAAAAGGTAATCGGGGCTGGCCCAGTGGTGTGGCAGGTAAGTTCACGCACTTCACTTGAGCGGCCTGGGATTCAGTGGTTTGGATCCCAGGCACAGACATACACACCGCTTATCAAACCACGCTGTGGCAGGCATCCCACATGCAAGATCGAGGAAGATGGGCACAGATGTTAGCTCAGGGCCAATCTTCCTTGGCACAAAGGGGAGGACTGGTGGCGGATGTTAACTCAGGGCTAATCTTCCTCAAAAAAAAAAACTCTAATGTCTCCTAAATGACTAAGTCTGTTGCTAAATGGCAGTAGATATTTTATCCCTGCTGTGCACCATCTGTCCTTTCATTTACAGTTGCTGAGACAGAATACTGAGATATTTTTCTATGTAACTTTTTCAAAGAGCTTTGTCACTGCCCTACCAACACTTGGGATAATGTAGCTAGACCTGAGATCAATTCAGCAAGGAAATGAACCATTTACTCTATGACCTTGGGTGTGACACACCACAACATACCTGATACCTATTAGAACAGTGGACAACTAAACTGGGTCACGTGGTAAATCAGGAAGTGGGGCAGACCACAGACAGTCAAAGGACCACGTCTTCCCCTGTGCAACCTGGATGTCACTACGGTGTTCCATTTTTCGGTTCCACTTTAATCCTTAAATGCAATAATTTGGCCTCAGATTGACACAATGGACAATTTTAGCTCCATGTCCATCTCTCTCAGGCTGCCACCTCTACTACCTAGAATCCCAGTTTAAAACAGGAAACAAAAGTATTTTCAAGAGTAATCAAAAGAAGAGACACAGAATATACATTCATAGAGAAGTTTTATAGCATTCAAAAATTATGTTCCTCAAGCCCTAAATCAAAACTACTTACTTTCATTTTAAACCTAATTCCAACCACTTTGGTCTGGTTTCTCATTCCAACAGAATTTTAAGAAATGAAAAAACAGTGGTAGAGGCAGACACAGAGATGTGACATCTGAAATTCTTGACCAAAAAAGGAAAAACCCATGAAGAGTATAGTAGGGTTTAAAATAGCACAGAAAAACATAATGATGTTCATAATGATGACCAGAGTTATCAGGAAGAGGCAAAAACATATGCCCATTTTGAAAATACTGCTTTTCTAACAGGAAAAAACTTATTTAATAAAAAAACTTTAACGGAGGGCTAGAAAGCACATTATTTATTTAGAAAACTTTTTGTTATAGTTAAAATGAAAAATAGTTTGAGACGGAAAGGAGTAAGCAGCCCTTATCTAGAAAGTTCACTCTAGTACAGCGTGTTCTCAAATCATTACACATACGCTGAGCATACTACATTTGCTCTGTCTTTAATTCCATTAATAAAATCAACTCAACAAACAATTTGGAAAAATAAGCCATGGAGTTACATGTGGCCAAAGATTAGCAAGACAAACAACACCAAAACAAGGAAGTGAAAATTACACTTTTCAGAAAATACAATGTCGTTATAATACAAGTAAAACTGAACTTTGACAAATATATTTTCAAGAAGAAAAATACCAGCAAACAATTTAATAAATTAAATATGCTAGTTATTTAAAAGTTGTATATAACAACCCAAGAGCCTCTTCCCAAGGCAAATATTGGGTGACAAAAAAAAAATCACCAAATCAAGGTAGAGTGCCTTGAATACTGTTAGTCATATCTGATAACACAACTTAAGCTACGTAGGGACACAAAATACTTACCCATTTCTAGCTGCCAAATGCAGGGGCGTACAGCCTGAGATATCTTGATAGTTTGGATTTGCTCCTTTCTTCAACAGCAGAACCAAGCATTCCACCGATCCACAGCTAAACAATATGAAAAACAGTTCAGATACATTCAGAAAACAGTCACAGCTGACAAAGCTTAAATAAAGAACAAAAATTTCTATTAAACACATTGTTTTTGAAGTTCATTTTGATTTTACTACACTTTGATTTAACTTGTCACAAACAGTAAATATCCTTTACTTTCAAAATGGCACATTCTACGATGAAAGCTATGAAGTATGTGAGAACTTCAAATAAAGCGAAATCAAGTATTAGTACATAAAAGAAACCATAGAGCAGTCTCAACTTTTTGGCCTTCCAGAAGTTAAATTTACTATGAAAAATTAATTTTGACACATCTACCTAAATCCTGAAAGGAGGCCAGATATCAACTAATTCATTGATTACACCCTGGAAGATTGTGGATAAAAACCATTCTCAAACCTAAGCAAAAAATATAAACCCAATGACTTCACATGCAGTTAGTACATAAAATCTCGTAATGGTAGGATCAAAAGAAAATTCAATGACTGTACCCTCTTAAGTACATCCAGGAAACACAATCCCCATGCCTAACCTCCTCTGATGCGATCTAGAATCCACCAAGACAGCAGATATGTGACTTGAGTCCAATCTCAAGGTTAACAATCTATCTAGAGAAAGAAGGCAAGCACAGCACACTAAGCCCTGAACAGAATAAAGCGTCTGTTCTCATGTCTCCCCAGAACTACTGTGCGACAACACTGAGTCAAAGCTTCCTGATCATTACTCTAGACCAGACTTTAATCCAAAATATCTTTAGTCTTACTTTGCTGCAATGTGAAGCAAGCTTCTTTTCACACGTCCAAATGCATAATTGACATCAAACTTTGAATTTGATAGTAGTTCAGAAACAGACCTACACCAAGAGAATTAAAAGACAAGTCATCACACTAAAGAGATGGTTTTTAAAAACAACACGGGGCCAGCCTGGTAGTAAAGTGGTTAAGTTCGCATGCTCCACTTCAGTGGCCCAGGGTTCACCAGTTCAGATCCTGGGCATGGACCTAAGCAGTACTTATCAAGCCATGCTGTGGCAGGCGTCCCACACACAAAGCAGAGGAAGATGGGCATGGATGTTAGCTCAGGGCCAATCTCCCTCAGGAAAAAGAGGAGGATTGGCCGCAGATGTCAGCTCAGGGCTAATCTTCCTCAAACAAACAAACAAAATAACTCAAGTTAAAAACTCTTTAATTACTCTTACCAATTATTAAGAAGGTTCTGTCAGACGTCAACCTAAAATCAAGGCACTATTCTCTTAAGTGTAGCATGGCAGCCAGCGCAGCATCATCCCAAAACTGACTGCCCTGACCTATAAACTAGGGCTGAAGGTTTCCTGGTCTGCCGCTCTGGCTGTGTGGCCTGCTCTCAGGACACCTAAGTTGGCTTCAGCTCTCCCTAGATTCTTGAGAAACAAAGACAGTAGGGCTGGCTGCTCCCCTTGTAGGAAGTTGAGCCTATCTATATTACTTTTGGCCAAATAAGAAAAATCAGACAAAAACATGTTTTAGTTATACCAGACAGGAAGTTTCAAGCAAAAAATCATTTATATTTTAAACTTGTTTCAAAATAGTTTCTCTTCACTTTCTTCTCATTATAGCAAACTACCCAATGGCTAACCACAGCAGAGCTGTCTGCTGCGGGGTAAACGTCTCATCACATAGCCAGATAACTGTATCTCACATGTGCCCTGCAAAAAGAGTATCACCACTACATCAATAAAAAGAACATCCATGGAATGGAACACTACGGAAATCAGTTGTCCTTCAGCTCTAACCTCTTGCTACTAAAGATCAGAAGTGACCTCCAGCAGAAATCATCACAATGTTTTTTTCACTGTCAGAGACCAATCAAATATTTGACTTAATATCTGCCTATTCATTTAGAAAATCTCTTACCATAGAATGTTACGGTTGATATAGATCTTGGGAAATCTTTTTTTTTTTTTTTTTTAGATTTTTTATTTTTTCCCCTTTTTCTCCCCAAAGCCCCCCTGGTACATAGTTGTATATTCTTTGTTGTGGGTCCTTCTAGTTGTGGCATGTGGGATGCCGCCTCAGCGTGGTTTGATGAGCAGTGCCATGTCCGTGCCCAGGATTCGAACCAACAAAACACTGGGCTGCCTGCAGCGGAGCACGCGAACTTAACCACTCGGCCACCGGGCCAGCCCCCGGGAAATCTTATTTCTTATTTCACAGGCAGAAAAGTATTAACAGAGGCTAAATAGGGCAACATCTACATACAAATTGTGTGTGTGTGTGTGTGTGGATGTACACACAAAATTCAGGAAAGTTTCTACTTCTCAAAAAGTGTAAATTTGTGAAATAGGCACTCACCTGTGTTGATCAGCCATGACCATTGGCATTAATGTATAAACAGCAGTTTCATTATCTGAGTAAAAAAAAAAAACAGAAACAGAATTATCTCCTTACTTTTTCCAAAGGGTGATACTTAAGACTACTTTAGAGTTTTATTAGCTCTACATAAAAAGCAAGAAGAAGACATGGAAGAACGTTAAGGATAGCACAGAATACCAGACGTACTGCAAAATTTACAACAATGCAGAATTTATCCCTTCTAATGCTCGTCCTCTGTACATTGTCACAAAAGTACTTAGCTTCTGGATTTGAGGGGGAAATTACAAACCTAATATTTTCTGTACCTTTAACAGCTGAAATTTCTTTTGCTTTCAAAGAGGTGTTTAATGACTTTGTTTTATCATACTTATATTTAGTTTGCAGGAATTTTAAGAATATGTGAATATTAAAGTTATATGAGCTAAAACAATTTTAAAACATTAAATACACACCATACTTGCTCCCTACCAATACTATAATAAAAGAAATTATTTTAGAAGCTTTTATGAAACAGCATTAAAGTCTTACTTTTACTTATTACTTTACACTATCAACATTTTCATTTATATCTTTTATAGAATAAAGTCACAGAAACCTGGTCCAAAAAAAAAAGATTAAAAGTCAACAACATCTGGGGCCAGCCCAGTGGCACAGCGGTTAAGTGTGCATGTTCCGCTTCAGCAGCCCGGGGTTCGCCAGCTCGGATCCCAGGTGCAGACCATGGGACACCATGCTGTGGTAGGCATCCCACATATAAAGTAGAGGATGGGCATGGATGTTAGCTCAGGGCCCTCCTCTTCCTCAGCAAAAAGAGGAGGATTGGCAGCAGTTAGCTCAGGGCTAATCTTCCTCCAAAAAAAAAAAATAGTCAACAACATCTATGATGCCATATTATATACTTATGTAAATTTCAGCTCGTGTTTGAATTTATTTTTATATATTACTAATGGTCATTCCTCAATTCAATGCATTTTAGAGGTTTATGATTTTTAATAAGTTATTTACAGAGAAGTAACCTTGACAACTCCCATTCAGCCCTCAGAAAGTTAATACCAATGTTAAAATTAATGAGTTAAAGTTTGAGGAGAAAAAGGATATTTGCATAGTATCAAAGTATCTCCCCAAAATTTTGATTAGTTACAAAGGAAAAATGGTAAATTTACGGTGAAGAACCCAGCAGACACCACCTTAATCAACTGATAAAGGGTAACATCACCAGAAATAACACATATCCATATCATGTACCCCCTGATACGGTCCACTGAGAAGGGCACACCACTTTTGTAGTATTCTTGCCAAAAATACATAGTTTTAGTCTAATTATGAGAAAACATCAGATAAATCCAAATTACAGGGAATTCCACAAAACGGCTGATCAATCCTCTTAAAAAGTCTCAAGGCCATTAAAGATAAGGAAAGACTGAAGAACTATCACAATTTGGAGGAGGCTAAGAAAACACAACAACTAAATGAGATATGGTATCCTGGACTGGATCCTAGAGGAAAAAAGGGACATAGTGAGAAAACTGATGAAATCCGAATAGAGTCTGCAATGTGGTTAATAGTATTACACCCATGTTTATCCCTTAGTTCTGATAACTGCACTAGGGTTGTACAAGATATGAACGTTAGGAGAAGCTGGGAGAAGGGTGTATGGGAACACTGTACTATTTATGCAACTTTTCTACAAGTCCAAAATTACTTAAAAAAGAAAAGTAAAAAAAAAAAAAGAAAAAGATGCAGAATTGTTATCATTAAAAGAGTTTTAAGAGATGAATCAACTAAATATAACGTGGACTTTGTCTGGATACTGATTCAAACAAACCAACTGTAAGAAGCTATTTTTGAGAGGGGAAAACTGAATATGGACTGGGTATTTGATGACAAAAAATTATTGTTAGTTGTGTTGGCTCTAATGGTGGTATTATGATTATGTTTGAAAAAATATATATTTAGAAATATTGGGGATGGCCCCACAACATAGTGGTTGAGTTCCGCATGCTCCGCTTTATAGGCCCAGGTTCACAGGTTCAGATCCTGGGAGCAGAACTACACCACCTGTTTGCCATGCTGTGGCGGTGACCCACAAGCAAAAGTGAGGAAGACTGGCACAGATGTTAGCTCAGGGCCAATCTTCCTCAAGCAAAAAAAGAGGAAGACTGGCAACAGATGTTAGCTTAGCACAACTCTTTCTCAGCAAGAAAAAAAAAAATAAAAGAAATACACTGAAGTATTTAGAGGAGAGAAGAAACAAGTTATTACCATTTCTTCACGTTTTTTCCTTATTTCACTATTTGTGAGTATATACACAAAAAGCAATTTAGTCCTAGTCAATATTCACAAGTTTAGTATGCAGATGCAACAAAATTCTTTCACTATAACATAGAAAAATAAAATAATACCAAAGAATCCTATTAGTAATAGCCAACGTGTTTTAAATCGTTATCTTAAAGGCACTGTTCTAAACACTTTACACACAGCATTTCTTTTATCCTCACAACCATCTTATGAACTAGGCACTATTATCCCCATTTTACAACAGAGAAAACTGAAGCACTAAGCAACAAGCTGTGTGGTGGTGGCATTAAGGGGCTAAGTGGAATTCTAACCTGACTGACTGCAGAGCCCCAACAATAAAAATCCTACAGTGCATCCAGTATACATTACATAGGGTAATCAAAAGGTCCACAATATTTAATATGTGCAATACTCTCTAATTTGTTTTATTCTCTTCTATTTCATTTTTTTAAATGCTGACTGCAACCACTAAACTGTTCTCATTAACCACCAGTGAGTCACCACTAGGCATTGAAAAACACTGCTTTCAGCCTCCCTGGGCACGGCAACATTCTTTATCCCTCATATAATACACACCCCAATAAAAATCCGAACGTCTAAACCATGACAATTTCAATTAAGTCACCTTTTAGTAAATAAAGTCATAAACAAGAAATGCCTTTATTTGTGAATGTAAACTTATAAATCAAGACAGTACATAATTTTAAGTGAGCATGAGTGAGCATCATAAGGTTTGCCTGGGTTTTATATATGGGGTGTTTATTAAGATGAAATTAGATGTGGATCTTACTTTTTAAGTCACATCTAACCTTATAAAAATATAGCTCACCTACACTAAAAGGTATGAAGAAACAAATACAGCCACAGCTACGGTGCTAGAAGACTATCCAGGAAACGCTATACTAAGAAGGAACAGAATAAAACTTGTCGTGAGGGGCTTCCTTCTCCACACTCATGAAGATACCTTGAGGAAGGCATATAATTAAAGTTTTTAGAGTGATAAGAAAAGTTTACTCTCTCACTTTATCAGATATGTTGGCCATTTTTATTAATAGATAATAAAATTTTATTAATAGACAAAAGTTTCAGAACTCAACAACTACAAAGAAAACCTTAAAAAACAGGGAGCTCAGACTCATGGAAGCGATTTTTGAAACATTCATGATTATCCTAAATCAAGATTCAAATATATGCGAAAATGGGCTCACATCCTATTATTCTATTAAACAAACTACATTCATTGTAAATGCAGTAGTTTGAGAGTATTTTTTCCACATAAGTAAACAATGTAAACCAACTTTGTAAAGTCCACCGAGAATGCATCTCCCTAAAGTAATTTCTTTCCCCTCCTTCCTCCCTCCCAAGAATATCCCTGTCAGCCCTGCCCAGGATGAGTCAACAGGCCGCACTCATTACTTCGTGGTAATACTCAGCTTTTCATCATCCCAAGGAAACATAAATGTGACCACCCAGTATCTCACTCGGTACATCAAATATCTGCAGTTTAATCCTACGCAACAAACTTGATTTTAGAGTAATGAACTTGAGTAAAAGCTCATTAAAAACATCCCAACCTTCATAATTTCTTTCAATTAGATCACTATGAACCGCTGAATTCTAAGGCACAATAAATATCTGATTATTTCCTAAATTTAGAGAAATCTCAGAACTTCTGCTTAGCCCTTAAAACGCAAGTACAACAATCTGGATTTTCATAATTAGAATATAATATATTTATACACACACACACGTACATACTCGAAAGAGCCAATCAGAGAATTCAAAAAGATTCACCAGAACTTAAGGACAGAGATAAATTAAAGGAACAAGATGAGCAAACTTATTATAATCAAAGAAAAAGAAATGTAAGCAAGACACCACTTGGCCTAGTAATATGAGAAAAAGTTTTATTTTCAATCACTCTAGTTTCCAGGGGCTCTCAGACTGTTGGTGGAACTTTCCAAAGAGTAAGCTGAGAGGTGGATACTCAGAGCCTTAAAAATGCTGATCTAATTAGATCTATAATTCTCCCATGTGTTAATCCTGAGGAAATATTTATAAAGGCAGACTGAGACCTAAAAGAGTACAATCGTGCTCCTCATAAAATCTACTACAAAAACAAAAATTACACTGAACATTTGTTGCATGTATCCTATGAAATCCTACAAAGTCATGCGTATTTAAAGATATATAAAACGTGACATGTTTTTAAAAGCAAAATAAAAGACTATATTTAGTATGATCTTAATCTGGTACAGAAAGAAATAATAGAAGGAAATAAAGAAAATACTAACATTGTTTATTTCTGGGTGGCGGAATAACAGATTTTTTTATTTTCCTTTTCAAAATTTTCTACAATGAAAATATATTACTTTCAAAACCAGGAAACATTATCAAAGTCTTCTAAATAGCATTTATTTAAAAAAAATGAGATTTAAACTAAGCAATACAAATTGCTGTGTCAATGAAACTATACAAGCAGTCTTCTTCATCAACGTATACCAATAATTTGACTGTGGAAAATGACCACAGAAATATGAATCCATTTCTTAAGTGAAATGGATTCACTTAAGAAATGGATTCAAAGGTGGAAGTTGGAAGGAAAGAGAAAGAAAGCTGAAGCTGCAAATCTAGTTATTAAAATCAGGATTATTTTCAGTTTACTTCATACTAGCAAAGTACCAAGCACAAAAATGTTTTTGAGAAACAGTCACCACAAACCATCCCTATTCTGAGTCATAAGTAGAGACCAGGCAAAATTTCTCCAAGAGAATTACCCCCAAAGTCCCCATTCCCACATTTCTTTGATAGCTCTCTCCCAAGGTCCCCCTCCCTTCCCTGACAAATCACCTCTCTAGCAGAAATTCAAAGAAAGTTTTGGAAAAAATGAAATAAGATAAACACACACCATGTATTTTTCAAAAATTCACCAGCCATAAGCCCCTTAGCCCTTCTCTCACTTGGGCATACAGAACCAATAGCCTCTTAGGGGCAGCGTGCGATCTCCCACTGTCACTAAAACGTCTGATTTCATGAAGCTGCTAAGAAAACGCTTTCTTTCTGACCTTCTTTATTACCAGTGTTTTACCTGTCCTGAAGGAACCCTGGCACACTGAACTAAAATTGCTGAACCACAGGGATCACGCCTTATTCCTCTTTGTAGAGCCCCAGCCCCACTGACGTCTGACGAATAAATGAAGAGTGCAGGCATGCATTTTAAAGTGTATATACGCATACACACAGCACTTTAAGAGTACAGGTTGGTTTCATTGACATCCTTTTATTTGTTTATTGTCAAAATACAATAGTGCTCCACATTTTCGAAAACAAAAGCTGCTTAACCCGCACCCCTCCCCCATCCCCACCTGCAGCTTAAAGCAAACACTACTGTTTTTGAAGCACCTCTCTAGCCCCAGCAAGCAGCGTTTGTAAAACGGCCCACAACTGGAACGTTTTCTGAATCCAGGGTTCCGCCATCTGGCTGATATTTCTGCCCCTTCGCCAAAAACCCTTGATGGACAGTCGGGAGAGACTTCGGTCTGTCCTGCTTCTTCCCGCAGCAGAACCGCACTGCCCGGGCCCCTCCCGCAAATTCCCACCTGCCCGGTCGGGAGAGACGAGCGAGGGGTGGCCGGGGCTCCCCGCCCGGCCCCCCCCGGGGAAGGAAAGTCAACGTGGGCGTTTGCTCAGCTTTCGGTTCGTTTTCCCAGCGGACCTCACCGCGGCCGGAGGAAGCCCCGCCCTCGCCCCGCCGGCCGCCCCGACGCCCCCAGCGCCGCGGCCCCGCTCACCGTCCGGCAGCTCCACGGTGCGCGCGCGGCGCAGCGAGCGCGTCAGGCGATTGAGCTGCTCCATCGCTCTCTCCATCCTCGGCGCGCCCTCCGCGCTGTCCCCGCCGCGCCGGCGGCCTCCGCGCCAGCGCCCTACATCCCGCCCCGGGCCCGTCCTGCGGCCGGAGGCGCTGGCTCGTCCCAGCCAGCGCCCGGGGCTGCGGGGCCGCTCGGGACTACGTCCTCCGTCCTGGGGCTGGGGACTGCCGGACGGACCACCGAGCAGACACCCGCCGCCGCCGAAGCTGCCGCCGCAGCTGGCGCCCTTCCTGCCGCCGCCACCGCTTCCCTCCCGGACTCGCACGGCCTTCTGGGAACTGTAGTTCCGAGACGGCCGAGCCGCGCGCCCTGGGCGGAGCCACGCTGGGTGCGCCTTTGGCTCCGCGCCCCAGCAGCGCAGACGCCGGGGTAGGGCGCTGTGTGCTGAAAGCAACGAAGTAAGACTGAACGTACACCGAAGTTCCAGAGAGACTTCCTGGGTGTCCCCACGCCCCCTCCTGCTGCCCTCCAAAGTTGTACGGGGGCAGCTTTCTGCAATTCTATCACTCCCCTGCATAGCAGATTGGGGATTTGCACAATTGTTGTAGCTATCATCATCATCCCAGTTTTGGTACATTTGTTTCCCAGGTACACGAACTGTTGAAATATTATATTTTCATATGTCAAATTTAAAAAATAATAAAGTCAAACAAACGCAAAAGCAGAATACAGTGTTTGTTGCATTGCAAGTAACTTAACTAGAGCTTAATTATTTGTCTCCCCTGCTGGGCGACTTGATAAGGACAAGGACACCACTCTATCTTGTGCCTTATATTCCGATACTTACCACGGCACCTGACACAAGGTTGAAACTTTGGGGAATATATGGGTGATATCTTGAAAGAAAATTTTAGTTTATTTTGGTAGATGAGGTGTCAAGGTGATCCCACTGGGAAATCCAAAGACTTTCACTTTGTGCGTGGCAAAAAACTTGACGATACCCACAACGTGTGGAAGAAAGGAGTTATAAGGAAATTGGGGAAAGATCATATTTGTCAGCTCTACACAGAAGTCGAGCACAGCCAGGATAAGAACAAAAATTTGAGCACCTGAAACAAGAAAGAATTAATCCAATCCAAGTGAATATGAGCCTGGCTAATAGCACTGACAATGAAATGTTAAGGAGGAATTTTCTCTTCTTGGACATAATCAGTGCAAAGATGATGCTGCAGTAAGAGAGAAGCAAAGAGCTTGGACTTTCTCAGCTTCTCCTTCCTCCAAGAGGCAAAGCTGTTCCTACGTACAACGAATGGGCACATGCGTGTTGATAATGTATGTTGTCTGGTCCAGAGGAAGAAAGAGAGTCTCACCTGCCTATCCAGCATGTGCAGGGGCAGCTGGTGGGTGCCATGGGTGTTGCCTGCCAATGCCACCCTAAATCCAACCTGCATCTGTGGGTTACTTGTTCCAGTGGTGCAACAGGCTCAGGGCAGACCTCCTAACCAGTTGGTTCAGATGAGACCTAAACCAGTCTGGCAACAAGGTGGAAGGTCAAAGCTTCAAAAGAATGACAAATGCTATGGGCTCGTCTGGGCCATGCCCAACACTTTGTAACCTGGTTTCAACTAGAAATGCTCAAGCCTTTCCTGGCCTTCCCCATACCATTCAGAAAGTCAAGATCCCCGCTGCTGTACAGGAATTAGCACCTTAGCCCCTGTCATCACTGCCGCTCCTTAGGCTGTTGCTCCATATAAATCACTTACAAGGTCCTGTGGGCGCCAAGCCTGGAGTTTGTGTGCAGGGAGAGGAGCACCCAATAGCCTCCATGGTGGGCATCGCTCCCCATGCTGGTCACTGTGGCCATAGGAGCAGAAGATGCTGGAAGAACGTTACAGAATGCTGCTGTCAATTATCAGTTCTAAGTTCTGCAGCATGACATAGTCTCTCAAAGAGCTCTGCTCCAAGATGTATGAAGCTGCAGTACTACTGTAAGCTTATCACCTCCTGTCCAATAGAACTTTCTACAATGACAGAAATGTCCTATGATCTACACGGTCCAAAATAGTAGCCACCAACCAAATGGGGCTACTGGGTCCTTGAAATGTAGCTAGTGCAATTGGCTTTTAAATATGTACTTAAATGTGATTAATGAAATTAAATAGCCTCATGTGCCTAGTGGCTACCATATTGGACAAGACAGCCTACCACACCAAGAAGGAAGCTCTCCATGAGGTGACAAAAAAGCCAAATAGCTCCTCATAGGTTATTAGCTAAAGAATTGAAGATTTTCTCATTTGTCCTGTGGAAGCTAATACCAAGAATATCAAATGAAAGCTTCAAAAGTTTATTTTGGGTCCAGTGCCAGTGGCCTGGTGGTTAAGTTTGGCACGCTCCGCTCCAGCAGCCCAAGTTTGGTTCCCGGGCATGGACCTACACCACTTGTCTGTCAGTAGTCATGCTGTGGCAGCAGCTCACCTACAATAAGAGGAAGATTGGCAACAGATGTTAGCTCAGAGCGAATCTTCCTCAGCAAAAAGCAACAACAAAAAAAGGTATTTTGTATGATACAGTCCATTATCAAAAGCAGAAATCTTTTCAATTATAAGAATCCAGATTTTCTGTGGCCCAGTTTTAAATTTTTTTTCTATTTCTGGATTTGCTTTCCCTCCTGGAAATATCCAAGCTTAAGTTTCTCCATTTAAAGAAGAAAACAGTCAATTTGACAAAAGGCGGAAGAAGAGCAGAAAAAAAAAAAAAAGCAAAGAACAAAGAATAATCATCGTAAAAACAAGCCACAAAAAATAAGATGGTAGAAATAAGTCCAAGTATATTTGTGGCCATAGTCACAGAAAATATAAACAGAGTAAACTCAATGGTTAAAAGACAGAGGTCTTAGATTGTATGAAAAGTTAAAACAAAACAGCTATTTGCTATTTCTAAGACATCCCCACTTCCAGAAGGAAATGGGAAAAAAGACATACCTGATAAATATTGACCAAAAAGTCTGGTATTGTTATGTATCAGTTAGGGTTCTCCAGAGAAACGGAACTAATAGGATGTATGTATATATGTGTGTGTGTGTGTGTGTATATATACACATATAAAGAGATTTATTATAAGGAATTGTCTCATGTGATTATGGAGGCTGCCCAGTTGAAAATTTGCAGTGTGGCCCAGCAGGCTGGACACCCAGGAGAGCAGATGGTGCAGCGAAGTCTGAAGGCAGTCTGCTGAAAAATTCCCTCTTGCCAGTATTTTTGTTCTATTCAGGACTTCAAATGATTGAATGAAGACCACCTACATGACAGAGGGCAATCTGCTCTACTCAGTCTCATCAAAAAACACCCTCCAAGTGCACACATAAAATTAACCATCAGGTGGGGCCGGCCCTGAAGCTAAGTGGCTAAAGCTCTGCGCGCTCCACTTCGGCGGCCCAGGATCACAGGTTCGGATACTGGGTGTGGACCTACTCCACTCATCAGCTATGCTGTGGAGGCATCCCACATACAAAGTAGAGGAGGATTGGCACAAATGTTAGCTCAGGGCTAATCTTCCTCAAGCAAACAAACAAACAAAAAAAGCGGAAGATTGACAACAGATATTAGCTCAGGGTGAATCTTCCTCACCAAAGAAATAAAATAAAATAACCATCACAAACAATATTAATATCAGCAAAATGAACTTTAAAGCAAAAAACATTATTAGAGTCAAAGAGAGTCACCAAGAAGTTTATAATAGTCCTGAATCTATACCTAACAACATAGACTAAAAATAAATCTACACTTGACACAATTACAAGAATAAGTTACACCACCAATAGTGGTAGATTTTTAACACAATACTCTCTGAAACTGAGAAAGCTAGCAGAAAAAGATAGGTAAGGAGATGGAGGATTGAAAAATTCAACTCTGAGCCTCATCTAAGGCGTGTGTGGAACATTCCTTCCAGCTAACACAGAGGGAATACACATTCTTTTAGCGCACATCTATTTACAAGAACATAAAGGGCACTAGTGCTGGTCTTCAGAACAGTGTCGGTTAGGAGACAACAAGGAGATCATGACAGAAGCCAGACTGGGGTAGGTTGAGAACCTCAAGGAATGGAGTGCACAGAAGGAGCTCTCAGAGGAAGACAAAGCAACCTATAGGTCAAGGAAGGCAGGTGATGCAGGAGCCAGTAAAAGGAACTCTGGAGCTGGGCCACAAGTCTCACTAAACCATGCTCTCTCATTCAGTACCCGTGTGACAGAATTTTTAAATAAAAATGCAGGATCGTGCCCTTCCCTCTTTGATTTCATCTTCGAATATTAAGGCCATTATTACAAGCTGCAAAGATCTTTTTGGATCCTGCATCTACTAGTCAGGTGTTTGGTATCCTTCTGTGCTGTAGATCACGTGCAAATTTGACAAGCTCCCCCTCTGTAGAGATTTAAGTCACCGATACAAGTACTGAAACAAGAGACAGCCAAAGAAAAAAAAACATTAAAATTGCCATTTAAAAATTCCCCCAGATTATCTTTGATTCATTAACGAGCTCGTTTGGAGAGAATGTTTCATCATCTATTAATAAATCAAATTGTCTATATATCAAAAGTCATTTAAAAATAGTTGTGTACCTTTTGATCCATTCATTTCACCTCTGGAAATATAGCCCAAAGAAATAATCATAAATAAAGACAAAGATTTATAAATAGGTAGATTCAATTATTCCTTCAGAAGTACGTATTAAGTACCTTCCACGATCTAAGCACTATGATAATAAACAAAAGTACCAGCGTACTCTCTATCGGACAGAGATATTTCTGAAATAAATATTTTTTAAATAATTACACTCATGAATACATAATTACAAATAGAGATAAGTGCTCTTCAAGAAAGAAAAGCATTCAGTGAAAGACTAAGAACATCCAGAAAGGCTTTCCCAAGAAATAGACACTTAAGCTACAAATCAAAAGATGAATAGGAAGTATGTAGGCAAAGGAGAGAGGGTGGTGAGGAATGTACTAGATGGAGAGAATGGAATTTGTAAAGATCCTGTGGTGCATGGAATGTTCAAGGAAGCTAAAGAAAGTTGCCTTTCTGTTACATCTCTGAAAGCCAAGGATTGAAAGGAAGACTGTGAGATGAGACGAGGGAGGAAGCAGTCCATCAGGACTTTGAAGGCCATAAGGCCTTTAGCATCAGAGCAGTGGAAAAGCATTAAAGAATTTCAAGCTGATGGGAGTAATATGATCAGATCTGTGTTTGGAGGGAAAAATGTCTCTCCACAGCATAAAGAATGGATTGGATTGATGGTAAAGTAGATAAAGACAGACTAGTTAGTGGGC